TAAATTAAAGCAGCTGCTGAAAGTGTCCCCCTCCTTGTTCCAAGCACTTTTCACACCTGTTCCTCAAAGAATTAAAGACATTTTCTAAGATGCTCGGGGTATTGTTAATTTCACGAATCTTGTCTATAAGTCGAGCCTGCAGATGGTTTAAATCAGGAATAGGCAGTTCAAAAATAGTGTTTTTAAGGTAAGGCCACAAAAAGAAATCACACGGCGTAATATCACATGACCTCGGTGGAAATTCATGTTCAGCATTGAGACTTATTAGTCGATTTTGGAAAACTTCCCTCAACATATTCATCGTCTCGCCTGCCGTATGTGCCCTTGCGCCATCTTGTTGAAAGTAAAAGTTTGTAATTTCGTTTTCTTCCAGCTGGTTAACAAAAGGAGCGATAATTTCTTCTCTATACCTTTGCGCAGTAAGAGTACCATTAAAAAAAATAGGTCCATAAATCCTCCTTCGATTGAGAGCACACCAAACTCCAATTTTTTGAGCGTGTAGAGGGCCCTCGACAAAAAAGTTATCTGGTTTTTCAGAAGACCACATTCTCATATTCTGTGAGTTTACGTAACCACTTAAATGAAACCAGGCTTCATCAGAAAAAAAGGTGATATTATGAAGTTCACCGTAGTTGTTTAAAAACCATTCACAAAATACAGCCCGTCGCGGAAAATCAACTTCATGAAGTTCTTGCTGACAAGTTAAACGATAGGAGAACAAACGCAAATCTTTTTTTAACACTGTGTGGCAGGTACCGACTGATACTCCCACCATTTGTGATAAAACACGTACAGAAGTTCTTGGCGCATTTTCCATTATTTGTTGGACATTTTCTTTTAATTCTTCAGTCCGCTTTTTAGGTCGGCCGCTTCCTTCTTTTCTTGTTACACTGCCCGTTTCACGAAAAACATTAACACAACGCTGAACTGCACTTTGAAAAATTTTGTACTCAACAACGCCGGGAAATTGATTTTGAAATTCTATGAAACATTCCTCAATAGAATACTTCCATATTCCATCAATCTTGCGTCCATTTCTAAAGTAGGACTCTATGATAAACACTTTTTGTTCTTGAGAAAACACCATTTTAAACGCTTTTTAAAACGAAAATATTCAAATTGATAGCGGCGATATAGCGCTTTGACAGATGACGTTTAAGTTCATTTGCTATACGCTACGCCCTACGTCCAAATTTTCAGAACCAACTTGACCACGTTTTTATTTGAACGCTCGTTATTTATTACACTTATTTTTAGAGCTTGGTGTAAAAGATATTGTAATTTCTTTGGATATGTTACGGGTTTTTTTTGTTGTAGACTACAACTCTATATTTAACCAAAAAAATTAGTATTTTGGCTATAATCTTAATTAAACGTTCTACCAATTTTCTTAATCTAATTTCAGAAAATTGAATAACTTAAAATATAACTAAATATTTCCTGAATTCAATATTTCTACTCAAAAAATAAAACTAACATTAGGAACTAATATTGAAGTTAAAAATTTATACCAGATATGTAAAAACAAAAAAAAAATATATAAATTAGAAGGAACTAACAAAAACTATAGTGACAAGGACGAACAATTTTTAAGGTATTCTAATTTCAGTCTAATTTCATTTGCCTGTTTGATGCAGATTCATTTCAGAAAAAATACCCTCCACGCACATGTTTGTCAAGTTTGCTTTGTTGTCTAAGAGAAATTTTAAATCTTAAATAACAGGAAGTAGATCAATATAATAACTAAAAAAGTTACAAAACCCCGTAAGCCAACCTCAAAATTAAAACTTTACAATAAAACGAAATTTCTGATCTTAAATTAAAATCCTCGAACCGTTGGCGTATGTAGAAAAAAATGGGGGTTAATAGATGTCCCCTTTTCCCTTGGTCGCGAGTGCAACGATTTCTTTTATAAAAAAATATCCAAAAGATGTGTCAGCACAGTATCGAAATCTTTACAAAATTTCTTCAAATCTTCAAAAAAACCTTTTTTAATGGTAATTTTGACACCCTGTCTTGAAAAAAGCGCACATGTATAAAAAATGGTATAAGGAAAGTCCTTTTATTCTCATCCAAAGAATCTGTTGTTTAACTACTTGTTTGTAACATTCTGTATATTCCTAGTTTTACTTATTTGCGAGATATGCAGATGCTTCTCTAGGGAAATAATTACTCTGGCCAGAAGATGTCTAATTGAATATTCTTGAACTTTATACTGAATGAAAATCTAAAGGAAAGAGAAATTTTCTTAAAAATTATTTTCAGCCGCAATATAATTGGGAAACATACTTGTTTCGCAAGACTTTAAAGTTATCAAAGTTAAAATTATTTTGAGAATAACAGCATCAAAGAAAGAAGAACAAATATCGAGCAAGTAATTGAAATTTTCCAATGATATTTCTAATTCTTGTAATTGTTCGGTTTTTGCTTTAAATTCCTTAATAATAATCTCTGTTAAAAAATAAATACATCCCAATTTGACTCAAGCTGCTTATAGATTATGTCCCTTCATAGCAATTTTTCCCCTGCCCCGCTGTTTAACTCCAGATATCGGTACTATTAAAGAGATTAAAAAGCATATACGACATTTTCGAGTGGTAAACCATATTATTTCTTAATATCACTAAGTAGCTGTCAGGTGGATAAAATTTCACAATTCTTTAGCTTGACTAATGTCAAGATACGACAACTGTTTATTAAACCGCGCTTTTCAGATAACATCTAATGATCGGTAGAAAACAAGCTTTGTTTTTGCCGTGATTTTCGAGTTGAACCCATCGACATCCTGTACACCGACGATTATCTAAAATATTTATCTGCTTATTCGATTTTTGTAGTCCACAAAGGACAGCGAATTTTTATTTTATAGGAGTCGTAGATCCCACCGCCGATAGCACGCATTCGATGGCAGAACGTTGGGCTTTCGATGAACGGTCAGCTGTAATTTTATATAATGTAAATGAACAATTATCGATTTAGTCATTAGCAACGTTATCGCCGCTTATGGGGCCGAAGAAGCGCAAACTCTTCATTAGCTACTCGGCTTTCAATTATAGAAATAGTTTTATGTAAGGGGCCTTTCATTACTTACTCCAAATTACCATCAGATAGATATCCTAATGTTTCCGTTTACTTTACCGAAATTACCCCATATTGATCGTCATTATTTGTGTATATACATGCATAATAACGCTTTAACCTACATTAGCTCAGGTGTGGTTTCATAGAATATTTTTAAGACTTCTAGCAACAGTACAGAAAAGGAAAAATAGTATAAGCTAGATTGCTGCATATTCTAAGATCAGTAAAGAAAAATCGTGAAAACTACACCAGCGAATTCATCGGTTGTGTTCCATCACTTTTCTTAATGTAATTCAATAAATTTGATGTTTATATTTCTGCCGTTTGACAATCAAGCGCCTTTTTTTCGTTTACTTGCTAGCTTAACTTGAAAATAATGACAACACAGGCTTTTTCTTTATTATCCATTCTGGGAGAGCAACCATGGAAAATACACTATGAAAATTTTGTTCAAATTAAATTATGTTAACAATATTGAGAGCGTGAGGTTTAATTTCAAATATTAATGAAATACTGATAAAAATGGTTTGAAAGGTTTCAATTGTGAAGAAAGCTATTCGATGTTGGAAAACATCTTGACTATTTCCAAGTACCTTTGTTTTTCTTGAGCTTTTTTTCATAAAACATTCAAATCAAAGTAATAGCGAGAAAATGTCAAAGGATATTATTATAAAAGGACTGTGACTACGAATCAACTATATTGCTAGTCATATTATTATATGTATATGTCCAGTCCAGAATTTTCAATTTCATCGATTTTCTGTGGTAAACTGCTAAAGATGTTCATCATTTTTATAACTTTAACCAGAATTTACAAATCAAGACATACTGAAATGGATGAATAGTAGGGTAGGATTCAAGTTCCAGTGGCAGGAACTTTCTGGAGAATGAAGCCAAGAAAATTTTAAAAGAAGCACTGAAGAAATTAACGGCAGACGAGTCAAAACTATTAACTGAATACATTCGAAAATCACTCATGTTTCCAAACCAACGCCAGAAACCGCCCGTAGAGCTCCAAACAGTTCAAAAAACGCAAGGAATCCCATGTCGAAGACACAAATATCGAATTTTCCAACTAACTTTAGAATGCTGTTGACGAAGGAACTGTCAAAGATCGCTGCGGTCGCCAAATTGCAATTTCGACAAGAGACCAAACTGCCCTACACAAAAACAAAGAATCTGTCAGATCCCATGATAGTTCGAGACGATCCCAGAAATCGCTGAAATCCCTATGGCCAATTGGAGCCATCCCGAAGCAGGTTTGAATGTCAATAAGTACCAAGACCAAGTACGGTACGTTGTTACAGGAAACCGCAGTAACACGATTCCACGGGGTCGAAGCTCCGGCAGCGACTACCATTGAGACAAGGAAATACCATGGCAGAAACAGTATGTGTAGGTCTTGCTAAAAGGAGGAATAAACGTATTAAGCGTGTCTGAAAGCCTAAAATGCTAATGTTTTCAAGAAGAAGTCACTCTTAAAATTGTACAGCCCAATTAGAAAACCAAAGTTACATGGCAAGCTGGAACCATGGAGGTCCACCATAGATCTACGGATAGTCGCAGTGGTGTATCCACAGTTGAAACTTTTCAAACACTTCTCAATTTCGAAGCAAATTGGTATTTTTTAAACACTAATTGTACCAAGTCTGAATTTTGTAAACCCGTTTTTGAGTAACTGATTAAAAACCATTTTAATGATTGTAGACATATCAAACATTAATTTAGAAAAAATCCTACTCTTCTTTTTATAATCCTTAATTATTCCTTTAGTCTTGTTGTCATATACCTGTTACGCCCTGTGGTTATGGATATGATGCAACAAATACTTAACTGGTCTGTTTATTGCACGTTAAATTTATTTCCACATCTCAAATGACGAAATGAGTAGAACTATATAATAAAGAAAGTCCACTCACCAGGATCCGAGGCGTCCAAACTCTGCTGCGATGCGGGAGGTTGGGATAGAGGTCCAGGGGTTCCGGGTGATCTGACGTCGTCGTTCACCGGGCCCCCGTACGATAACGACGACGACGGAGGTCTCTGCAATCAGAAACAATACTTAGGTATAAATGATGATATCTTATCAGCTTCTTTGCAAGGGGTGAATGGTAAATGGGGAGAGGAGGTATTCAAATTTTAGGGAAAGACGTTAGCACCGTTCAATATATAAAGTGTTTCAAAAAGATAAAAATGGGATGGCTTAACACAGTGGCGTAGCCAAGGAGGTACCAAGGAGCCATACTCCACAACTTTTTGAGTTATTTGTAGCTTTTTCCCATTTTTTGAGTGCGCCACTGCCTTATGAAATCCGAGGTTCATATCCAAAAAAGCGTTTCCTAATTCTTTTGGTCTATTAATGTTAGTGTGGAAACAAACAAAAGAATTTCTGTTTATTTAATTTTCCAAGAAAGATATGTCTGAATTTATCAGCAGATAAATTCAAATTTTAAAATTGGATAGTTTAGCCACACTTTTTCGTAAATAGTAAGTTTTTACCAAAAGCAAACCCACATTTAATACAGTCTTTGAAACACCTTTATAAACACACACGATAAATCTCAGCTTGTATTGACGTTACAAATGAATCATGTTTTGGTGCTGATGACTTTCCAAACGAGAATGTGCCAAATTATCGACGCTCTTGGCGACCAAGCATTTCTTTTATGTAAATATTTATTCTCGCATGCAGTTTTAAATTATTTTCACTCTCACGTAGGCCAACAGGCTGGCCCGTTTGGTTTGTTTTCTCGTAATTTGCAACGAAAAACATGGCGATTCGATCGGTAATACAGCGACTTTTAACGTTTGTTTGCGTTAACACAGACCAATACGGTACTTAGTGGACCAAACAAAATATAAACTTTCCAGATGCATTTAAATAAAGAATAGCTTTATACAAGGTATCCAGAAACTGTCGGTTGTACTTTTAAAATTAATCTGTTTAAGTTACAAAACCTAAGTTATTTGTTTTAATTAATTTTTTCTCCAAATCTGTGCGATTTATTATTATACATATTCACCTAAGAAAAAAATTCCTAAAGACCTTAAAGGTTGACTTGAGAATTGTTCCTACCTCTTTTTGCTTACTATTTTTCAAAAAAATATAAGCAAAATAATATCAAAAGTACCCAGACTAGCATTGAATTATTCCAACAATTCAAGCAGATTAAAATTTTTTTTTTTCCTAAAAATCCGGTCAAAGGATATCTGATTCCATAGACAAAATTCATAACTGAAGACATTGGGGAAAACTATCACTCTGAGGACTATTTGCCCCGACTAGCATTGAATTATTCCAGGAATTCAAACAGATTAAAAATCGTTTCCTAAAAATGCGATCAAAAGATATCTGACCCAATAGACACAATTTATAACTAAAGGCATTGGGGAAAACTACTACTCTGCGGAGTATATGCCACGACTAGCATTGAATTATACCAGCAATATCTAGTAAATGGCTACTAATTAATAATTATCAAGTAATAGGAACACCTGGACAGATTCCGTTGCATGTCCGTATGAAATATAATTTTCTTTTATGTTCTGCTTTGTTTTTTTACTGTTTTAAAGCGTTGTCTTCATTCAAGGCTTTTTTTCTCGAAAACGGCTAACGTTGTCCACTCGAAAAAAGTATTTTTATAAATCTTTTTAGCGCTATTTAGTAATTTCGAAATAGTTCACTTTTTGAAAAAAAATAAAGTTATATCAATTTTTTAGCAAAAAAGAACCCTAATGTCCTTTCAGATATTAATATTTCGATATAATTTTTTCATACAGGTGCAGTTTACAACTTTGAGGTTAGGTTGAGTTTTCGAAAAAGTATTATACCATTATTTTTAAGAACAAAATCATCCTTGATTTTCTTAATTCTTAATTACAGATTTTGGCAAATTGTTTATATTTATTGAATTATTTCTTGTTGTTCCTAATATTTTAAATATATCACCTGAAATTCGATACAACAAGACATGCCTCCAAATAATTTGCTGATTGTTTCCCATTTTTTAAATCGAAAAAAGATACACTGAAAAAAGTATTACGATAAAGAAAGAAGATACACTGAAAAAAGTATTACGATTAAGAAAGAAGATACACTGAAAAAAGTATAATTATTATTCAATAATTTTTAATTCGGGGCCGTCCACAGAAAAATTGCGGGAGGGGCACACTCAGGCCCTATATTATTCAGAGGCGAAAAGAACAGCACCGTAGAGGCCACTGGGGAGTGCGACGGCACTTTTGCCATTAAATTCGATAAAACGATGCGCGGTTGTCGTGCAACCAGCAGATAAATAATATAGCAAGAGGGATCATGTGCGTCTAGCACTGGTCCTTGTCCCGTGGGTGAAGAGACACGACACTCTACTCTCGGCTGCCGGGCCTCCCCATACAAAAATATTGAAACACGACACTTCTGACGGCGCGGGCACTCCGAATTTCTGGGGAAGCCTCCCTTCGACGTTCATGAAATAGTCAGGATGAAATAGGAAGAATTGGGATTATCTATGACTAATACCTATACCATATATATATCGGATAGTTGATTTCACAACCATCAAATTGGATTCTTAAAAAAATCACAAAAAAGTGTCATATAATTTTTCTAATGGTCGCTCACAGATAAATGCCACTAGATCTATGTAAAAGATACGAAAATGCATATATTAAGAAAATGCTAAAGTTTAAAATCTCCTACAAGTTCATGGGTTGAATATTTAACGCTAATGACAACCAATTTGAAAGGTAACATTTGTATTCCAACGAGTACTCGATTAATCTATTTTTTGGAAACGAAACATACTAGATATCTTCTCAAGAAATCCAAAACGATCATAAGAAACGATGAGAGATCGCTAATTGTTTAAGGATGCTCTTGGTGAGACTTATTTGATGATGAAGATGCGTTTGGAATTGATTTTTAATAAAGGACATCATATACTTACAATATTAGTTAGGTACATTTTATGTCACAATAATAATAGGCATGACCTTACAGGCACCGTAAGAGAGAAAAATTAATTATACAGGATATTGCAGAAGAGAATTATCATCATCACTGTACCAAAAAAACAATTATAAAATTGGAAAATATATCAATCAGGTTGTTAGTATAAAGTCAGTATAAATACAATAGCAAAATAGACAATTGCTTAAATTAGGATGATTCCGCATCAGACATGCTTTTAGATTAATTTAATGTTACTTTATTAGCGTACTGTGGGGTTGATTTAGAGGCAGTGGTAGAGGCTCTACAGTAGCTGAAAACGATGTAGAGTTTTGTAGAAACAAAGTTGAATTATGTAAAAATAATTAATTGTAGGTATATGCAAAAATGTAATGTTCCGTATATTACAGTTAACGATTGGTCAAATTGTACTTTTAACTCTCATTTAAATAAGTATACATTCCAAATTACTTGTTTTCTTTTTATTTTTTTTTTAGTTAATTTTAGATATAAGCACAAATTCACTTACCATACGGCAAAAACATGTCATGTATCGTAATGTCACATAATTGTTCCTAAAATCGTGATAGGAACAAATTTTGTGAAAATTCGACATTTACAATTTGATTGTAGATTTTCTAAATGTCCCCGTTAAAATTTCAGGAACAATTGTTTGAATTTTTATGACGCTGTTTTCTGTGTGTGGTTGAAATACGGTTTGTGTACCTGTATTTTGATTATTAGTAAAAAATTAATCACTTTATCAGTAAAATATACTTCCTATATTTATTAACAATGACAAAAAAATATGATCCTGCAAATATTTAAACGACACTTGTATGATTTCTTCTAATGGAATATCTTGTATATTTTTAAGACATTGATTTGATTTATTTATCTTTCCAACAATGCAATGATTATGTAGTAAAATGTATTATGTATTACAGTGGAAATTGTAATTGTTAAAATTTAATCCGGATGGATTATTACTAAAGATTTATGCCAACAAATCTCTGATTATGTATAGTCCACTTAAATGGGCCTTTAAATTGCAATTTGGACAACTTGCCTGAATTTATGATATAATTTAATTTGAAGTACACATATAATAACAATAAGTGACAGTAATTTTTTTTCAACCCCCGGCCAGGGGTGAAAAAAAAAAATAAAATAAAGGGGTTTTTCAAGATAACTCGAAGGAGTAACAGCTAGAAAAAAAATTCTTATAAAAGTTGTAGAGCATAAAATTCTACATAAAAATGGTCTATTGATTGATCTTGTACTATTTAAGATGAACAGAGTTAGGGTGGCTAGAAAGGGATGATTTCAGAAATTAAAAAAAATCATAACAAGCATAATGAATAAATTTTATATATATATTTTTTTCAATCTACTCTAAAAAATGTTTACTTTCTTTTCAGATAAATATATATATTTTTTAATTTTTAATAAAAAAGTTATAACGATTTCAATTTTTTAATAGTTAATTTATATGATTTAACACAAACAATTTTTTTCTATTATTCGATTGATTATTTAAAATAATGAAAAGTTGCTTTCGAAATTTTGTTTTACGACACGTTCTTTTTGTGAAATTGTTATAACTTTTTTTATTAAAAATTAAAAAATATATCTTTCTCTGAAAACATAGTTTATATTTTTTAGAGTAAATTGAACAGAAAACAATTTTAATTCATTTATTTTTCTGCTTGTTACGATTTTTTAAATTTCTGAAATCATCCCTTAACTTCTAGTCTCCTTAACTCTGTTAATTTTAATAGTACAAGAAAAAGTCAATACCTATACCATTTTTATGTAGAATTTTATGGTCTACAACTTTTATAAGAATTTTTTTAGCTCTTACCCGTTTTGAGTTATCTTGAAAAACTTTAATTTTATTCATTTTCACCCCTGGCTGGGGGTTGAAAAAAAAATTACTGTCACTTATTGTTATTATTTACCTCAAACTGACTTATACCAAAAATTCAGGCAAGACGACCAAAATTGCGTTTTAGAAGCTCATTTAATTGGACTAGTAAATCTAATTTACTCTACGATTCTAATCAAATTAGGCCATCTTATACAATATAGATTC